GGTCAAGAATTGATCCAGGAATTCATCGACTTCTGTATCTCCCGATCCGAATTTCTCCGCTATTTTCTGGGCACGAAGGAGAATACAAATAAAAATCACATTTATCATTTAATAATTGTTTATATAATTGCTTAAATAATTACTCCCGATTCTTCTTCAATTTCCGCAGCAGCTCACAGCCTTTTTTTCAGACAGTTCATGTAATGCTTTTTTATTTTCAGATTTCTCTATTTCCAGCGATCAGAACTTCCTTTTCAGATTCCAATTCTTTAAACTAGGAAACCTCACCAAAAGTTAGTAAGTCGCATATCTAATAATAAGACAAGAAAATAATGAGTCAACCGCCTTATTATCCATTTATTGTCATCGATTAAATAATTCACCTGTTTTATGTCATTGACAACTTCCTCGAATCTTCCATCATCGTTCAATATTTCTCCCAAATCAGTGTTGCTGAGATGATTCGACATCGACAATGCAGCTAGAATATCCATCCAAATTGATGAATTTATTGTTAATTCATTATTATTTATTATTAATAAATGTCATGGTACTTTTTTGATTCCAGGTTTTTAAATTATAACATTTTCCCACCCATTGACTTAGTGGATTAGGCCTATAGGGGATACCACTTAAAAAAAAACGCGTCAAGGACTCTACCTCTTGGGTGACGTGGAAAGAGTTTCACTTTAATTACTTGATTTATGAAAAAATAGTCAATACTGGGTCAGAATCTCTCTTATTGAAATAATCATATACCCATTGTTCATTTTTTTCATGTCAATTTGAAAGAAAAAAGATCAAACGACTCGACGGGCATTCAAATGTAAGCGCCAGAAATCGCTGGCGACCCCCCACTCTAGCGCCGCCTCCCACCCCGCCATTTTGAGTGGGGAGTCAGTCGTTCGGCGGCAGTGCGTGGAACGGTCGGTCGCGTGTCGTGTAGTGAAAATCCGTTGACATCGGGATCCTAGTGAGTGCAGAAACCCGGCGCCGCCTGTGAACATTGAAAATACAAAGTGCGGGACTCAGTGCAAGTGATTTTGGGATGTGAAATAATTTTTTAAACAGTTTATCAGAGCATTTTGAGTGATTGAGATTTTTCCTTTGTTACACTGAACTTCGGTATTGCCGAACGGCCGCCCGGCGTCATTG